AGCATTTTTATTTGCAAAAGATGCATTGAAACACTTTAACACAGTTAACTAACCTATAACATTAGTTATCGGAAAAAAATAAAAACTTTATTTGGTTTATATATATTTAACTTGAAACCCTAAGAAGTATTTGTGCCGAGATAAAGCAGAAAAGGCATTTTCTTAACTTTGATCAGACGATTAATATATACTTCGTACGTTTTAGCTTTTTCTTCAAATAATAAAGACTTGATTGTATAAGAGAATTTCTAATAGTTTGTTGGAAGTACTTTTCAAGATTGAAGACTATAAGTACTACTGTGTTCAAAAAGTAAGACCAATTTAGTTTTTTTTCTCTTTTATGTATTATTTCAAGTTTTTTTCGGCCCCTCCTCCCTAAGTAATCCTCAATTTCAAGTAATATTCGTTGTTAGTAGCTTGGCCCGGTGGAAAGGAGTCCTTAGTGCTCTGATAATCGAAAAGGGTCTTGTGAAGTTTGCCACCGATGTCGGTCACAGTGCTACCAATTTAGCAAAACAATGTTTCTGATATTCGATATACCCGCGCAATTTAACAGGTTATGATGGTCTTTCCTTTTGGTCACTGTATTACATCACTTTGTTTATACAAATTTCTGTTGTAGTCGTTATTGGCGTTAAATTCCGGTATGATTTACTTTTGTCCGCTAAGTTTGCTTTAGCCTGTTGCCGTATGATGCTTCATCTATCTCTCTCTCTCTCTCTCTCTCTCTCTCTCTATCTGTCTCTCTCTCTTTGTGCCTGTACACGTGTTTTGCAGTTCGCTTTTTAACTATATTCGGGGGTCTTTCCGCCTATCTACTAATCCGACTTTGGCACCTGACACCGTCTCTTAGAATTGTGATAATAATTATTAATAATAATTATGAACAATAATAATATAAAATAATAATATTTTTTACATTATCAAAACCTGTACTATGAGAAACTGAACTCATTTTTTTTGCTTTTTATGGTCAAGTAATTAGGATCTGCCATGTCCAGATAGATCATTCTGACAGTTCTTTGTTACTCGTATTTTGCCGCTTTTTAGCTTAAACAGATATGAGTGAAAAAGAGAGAGAGAGAAAGAGAGAGAGAGAGAGAGAATAGCGACAATGTTATATATTCTTGTGTATTTCTTTCCCGGGAATCTTATTAATTGTCTATGGAAATCCAGATAACTGTTTGGTGATAAAAAAAAATTGATAAAATGGTTTTTGTTTGTACCCTATATGACTCGTGGTACAACGGCATATTAAGGATGTGTGGATATATGCAGCACTAAACAGGACAGCGGAAATAAATCCGCTTTTTATTATACCGATCGACTTCGAATCACTTTCGGAATCTATTTAAGCCTGTTTATCCTTCTGCTCGTTTGCCCCCTTTGTTTTTGAATGCTTAACCTAAAGGTCGTAGGTTTTTTAAATTTGATATACGGACAAGTTTTGGCCCAAGGACGAGCGCTAATCAAAGTGGGTGGGCTCTTGCCACCTTTTTCAACCATTTCCTGTACAAAACGCCTCATTTTGATCAGCCGTTATATGAATAATTGTAGGGTGGTGTAGAGTAGAGTATTTTATGATGGGTCTGGTGGGGCCCGCTATAGTGTTTTCACTTGTTACTATTATTAATAATTATTATTTAATGTTAACCATAGATGTCTTTCTCATCGTAATCATTGATTAGGGACACGAAAGAGTTTAGAAATAAATTGCAATTTGATTGAAAAGATTGTAAAATAAACTGAATGAAATCGCATTTAATCGCGTCTTAAACGTCTTTGCAATTCTCTAATAATACGAGGAAGAGCTAGCTGGCCAATCATTTAAGATAAGCTAATTCTGAATAACTGGCTTCATGTTTATAAGCCGATAAGGTCAGAGTTGTGATCGTTTCATGAGGTTTAACTGTACATGAACGTTTTTACATTCTTTTCATTTTCAGTGTATTGTCAAACGAAACCTGATGTTGATATTTATTATTATAAAACACTTCTTTAACAATTTGTTGGTTTATTCAATTTTTGTTTTGTTTTTATACTTAATGCATAAAAAAACAGAAAAAAACAAAAAAAAACGTATAAAATTACTATAATTTGGTTGGATTGATATTTTGAAGGGTTTGTCAGAATTATTAAAATTAATTATACGGGAGAATGAACAAATTTTATTAGGTTAACATGATAAAGAAAACGATGAACCCCTTATGTACCTCTAATATTATAATTCCCAGAGTTATTACTCTATCAGTTTCGTTATAAGCTGAAAATTTACCGCTCAAGAATATATAGGCGTCAATAGCCAGCGCATGCGCGAATGTTTGATAATTAAATCGAATATATTTTTATGCTTACGAACCGAAATAAATCATTTTCGTTGCATTAGAGTATATATTGTGGAAAAATTTTTCATCCCATACCTTGCAATCGAAGTGAAACAAATGCTAGACAGGTAGTCACGTGTGCAAAAATTTACCCACATACCAGATATAGTTTTTATAGACGAAAATCATATAAACTTTTGTTATCAATCACTTTTCTATTCGGGTAACTCGATGATGGCCGGAAAGAAATGAGAGATGGGAGAAAAAGATAGGGGAATGATGGCCGCAGTCTAGTGGCTAACTGTTATGCCTTTATCGAATGAGAGCTCATTGTAGGTAGGATCAAAGCCAACTTTACCGCACTGAAATTTGAATTTGCGAACACTGACTTGCGATACTCGTCTACTTACGATAACATAAACGGAGCCATAGTTACGTTACGTTGAGTGGATAAAAAAAGCAAAAGAAATGGAATTTAAAAGATTTGAACAAATATTATCATCGGGAGTCATGTTCTTGTAATCACTTGCTTTACGCTTAAGAGATCTTCTAACGCAGGTTTTGTGAAAGTATTTCTTCAGCTCTAAAATACTATCCTCGATGCCAACTGTAAGTTGTAAGATCATTAAAATAAATAGAAACATGTACTAAAAGAGAATTTCTTCGGCTCTGTGAGGGCATTCGCATTACATTGCATTGTGGGGAAATATTTTATATTCAATGCTAAGAACAGGCAAAGGATATAAGATGTGCTAGGAAAAGTAAGCAATATTTCGTCTTTTGCTTACTACATATTCTTGTTGTTGTTTCCTTCTAAACAACTGATTATAAGTGACACTTGTCCACTTTTTGGTTTCCTCTCTTTATTTCTTCAATGCTGCGGCGTATGTCTTCTATTTAACAGCTTATAAGTCAATGAAAAAAGCGTTACGGCTAACCAAGACAGAACATTAAATAATCTAGACCACTTCATCTCATAATTTTTTTCTTTTTATTTATTTCGTTATAAAACACTTGCATGGGAGGGGATTGAAGAATTCGTCCCATCCGATTCTCTAGAGAAATTTTGAACGCTTCAACATTTTGTCGTATCACGAGTTTTCCCAAAATAAGAGTTGTAGGGGAAATGAGTGCAAAAATGGTCTGATCCGATTCGTTTTCATTAGAGTTGAGAACCGGGGTGGACCAACGAACAACAATATACCAAATTTCGCCAAAATATCGCAAAAATTAAGATCTGTGTGTGTGTGTAGGCGAGTGATTAGCATAATAGGTAAGAATCGCGACTAGTAACTTAGTGTACACCTGTTCAGATCTCAATACAATAGAGTTTACTTCCGTCGTAGCTACGGTGAGCGCTCAGCTGATAAAGGTATAACATTTAACGATTGGGCAGAGAACCGCTAGGCCATCAGCTCTCTATCTCGTACTTTTTTGACCCTTCTTTCTGACTGTCATCGTGTTTAACACAAAGACAAGTTTAAAGCGATCCGAATCGATCAGCATACTAAAAATTGGATCTATTATAACTCCTTTAGATTGTTACATACCTTCGCATAAACTTAATATATCGTATATCATAGCATAAGAAAACAATTCTAAAGCGATGTTATACTTCGATGCTAACGATGTTTAAATTTATATTTTATTCCTTTATTTTGTCATTGCTGGACTTCTTCCCGTCTCCTTGACGTGACCGTTGCGAATTCTGAATGTTGAAGTTGCCGTTACTTATCGTTAGTCTTGCTTAGTTACTGTCGTAGCGTATTATTGTTTAATGACATTTTTTTAACTCGAACTAATTGTTTTTATTCAAAATTCGCATTAATTTAAAATATACAAAAAAAAAAAAAGAAAAAAATTTGCAAAAGTCACCTACGGGATTAGGCAGAATGATGGCTGCACTAACGACATTCATAATAGTTGTGGGAATTAAACAATTAAAGCAATCAATTAAGTAAATTGGTTTTAAAAGACCGCTAAAGCATAGCCTAGCGAATGGAGGGACGTAGGAATATGAATGAAAATTTGAATGAATGAATGAATGAAAGAGTGTTATTTTGTTTGAACGAGTGAGTAAAAATTTCTTCTTATATCCCATAATGGCAACGACATACAACGATGAAGGTGATACTGATAACTGACACCGTAAAATGAATGAATTTCTGCATTTTTTTTCTTAATAATATGCTAACGCGCAGATAAGATGTTTTTTGTTTTAAACAAGAGTTAATTTTGATTTGAGAAAAGATAAGGAAAAGTGTTGATGTTATTATTATTAATATTATTGTAGAGAGCTGTGTGAGATAGACTTGTCAGACGGTATGGTCTAAGGTATGATATTCCAATTTGCCGGAGAGGTGTATAAATTGCCCTTAATTCTTGCTTAATCAGATCCAGCATTCAATTCATCAATTCGCGAAATGAATAAAGTATTTAAGATAAGATTTAAGGCATAAGGCATCAATGAGTTTTCTCTTAGGTATATACTATGATGTAGTATATAAAGAATAGTATATAATAATGTTTGAAATAGTTGCTTTATCTTTCGTTTATCTTATCTTACTCTCCCTTGTTCGCACTCTCGTTCTCGCACCCGTAATAGAGACCATTTAGGCGCACGGATTTGCTAGCCAGTAAGCGTTTTAATAGCACTTACAACCTGATAGTCATATTCACTGTCAAGTTTCTTCAAGTTTGTAAAGTGAAATGTAATTCATTGCCAAAGTAAACGCAGCCAAGTGTTAGTTTAAAGAAAATGAAATTAGATTAAAGTTAAATCTTATAATAGTTGAAATATATGTATAAAAAAAATGGTTGTTGTCGCGAAGGATTTAATGTCAAGAAAATCTTTATCTATATTAAATATTAATTATCGTTACCAACTATTTGCGGCATTAACGGGTAAAAGTGAAACAAGAATATTACTAATTAAATCGTCTGTTTAATAATAATATTTATTTGTATTTGAATTTGGATTTATATTATAAATATATATATATATATATAAGTATTTGTTTTACAATCCGCTCTCATCACTTAGTACAATTGATTACATTTACTCATGGCATATCCACCGGTTGGCTATCGCCCACACTCTTCCATCTTCAGAACGATCATACGTCACCGGACTTCACTTTAACTGTGACAGAGATTTCGTGGATTGGTTCGTTGTTCGGTTTGGGATCTTTGTTGGGTAATATTATGTTTGGAGTTTTACTTGATCGTATTGGTAGAAAATGGTGCATGTATATGTTAGCATTACCAGTCATTGTACGTTTAATAAAAATGCATTTTTTTTTTTTTTTTTTTTTTAAATTTTATTATTAAAATTATTTTGAAAAACCTTTTTTTAACAATTCTTTACAGTGCGCTTGGTTTTTAATATACTTTGCTAAAACTCACGTTTACTTGTACGTAGCTCGTTTCTTGATTGGGATAACTGGTGGCGGAAATTATGTTGTTGTACCGATCTTTATAAGTGAAATTGCCGATCCGAGGTAAGCGCAGTAATAAATGAAGCTTGGTTTGTATACAGGGTTGCATTATAAACAAGAGAGATATAGATTTTCTTTTCTCGCTTAGAAGCAGGCAACAGTTTTGTTTTTAGTGTTAAGCCTAAAGATAGGCAAACATTTTATTATTTCAATTTTACTTTTGAGATTAGGGCGTTATGGTGTAAAACTCCATTGTTTACTGCGTACGACATATTGTACAAGGTCATATTAAATTGCAGAAGATGTATACAATATCCAGGCCGGCTTGGGATGGATCTGTACTCTATTCAGGAACGCTTTTTGGTATTTTGGTATCTAAATGCTTTGAATCGGTCGCCTCTCTGCATAACGTCTTATTTTGAAAAACCGATCTATCAATAAATACATTATACGAAGCGATGGAGGATAACTAACGATCCAATACAACAGTTTTACTTGTTGTTTTTAACATTTGTAGTTATTAACAAGAAAATGGGTGAATGAAAATGTAATTCCTTCACATTTCCTTGCAGTCTTGCAGCCCACAAGTTCGCAAAGTATAGAAAATATTCTCATTGCAAAAAAGGACTTTAACTCCTGAATTTAGCGATTATACCATTGATCATTGAGGGTACTAAACGTACCTGCAATAACATTCTTCTTAAATTAATTATTAGCTGCTTTTATCGTAAAGAGCGTAGGTGAACGCACCGTTATGTACGCAGCCGATTTTTGTAACCTTCAAACAAAACACGGATTGTTTTATCTCTGCCAAATGCTTTTGAAGAAATGCCATAGAAACCCAAAATAAATGAATTTATTATTGTAAAATATATCTCGTTGGCGAGTAGTTTTGATCAAGAGCTCTATAAATTTAGTAGCCAACGTAGCAGAATTTATTTAAATCGCAATTCGGAACAATGGTTGGTAGAGAGACATTAATCATTAGTCCTAATCATAATCCCCTAACTGCAATTTTTGATTTCTTTTGTTTAATCATAATTTATAACAACAAACAATTTACATTAGGATGGCCCTCTTAGTATATGTCTAAGATAGAATTGATTATATAGCTAGATTAAGATCATAAATATATATGTGTAGATTCATTCATTCCTACGGATTTGTTACGAAGTTAATAATATTGACAATATTGTGATCAATCTGTGCCGCGACCTAAAAAGACTAATGTACTCGGTATTGACAATTTGGATATGCATTGTTTGCTGAAGACACCTTAACGTAATCTCCCATTTGTTTGTTATTCTTTTTTACCATACTTTCTACGTGTTTTGCTGCTTTAGGAGAATTCGACCGAGGCACAGATGTTACTTACATTGTAGAGTAATAGATATCGAAACGACGTTGTTTAATGTAGTGTGAGATAACTTTGCTTACAATGATTTAAAATATGGTTTGTTATAAAAAGTATTTTATGACTTGCCGTTAAAACAAATAAAGGTTTAATTATAAGATCGTCATTTTTATCACGAGATGATAAACTTTATGATTATACTTTTACAGCATACGTGGTGCCTTATCGTCAATGGCTATGCTTATGTTAAGCTTTGGTATTCTAGCTGGCTACATAATGTCAACCTATTTGGATTATTATGTAAATCCTTTCATCATCGTAATCTTTCCATTGCTGTATCTAATAGCGGTCACACAATTTCCCGAGACTCCGCAACATTTGCTAAGAAAGCATAAAATATCCGATGCAAGAGAGTCTTTTAAATTCTACAGAAATATGCCGAAGACAATAGAAGCGAACTCATTGCCGGAGTTGCGGACAGCTTTTGAAGAACTAAAGGATAACATATTGAAGGCTAATGGAAAATCAGAAAAGCTTCAAGTAGATGATTTTTGTAAGTTATTTTTAGTTATACCCTACACCACTTGTATGTAGTACGAGAATATATATTTAGTTTGTGCGGTTGCATTCACCAAGATGACTCGAGACATTACCAACTGAATTTATAACCTTGTCTGTTTGTCCGTCCGTCCGTCTGTCTGCCTAATTTTTCTTTGCTCAACCGATCAGTCGCAGTTTTTGAGAAGACCAAGGCTATCGGGAATGATTTGGACCGAACTTCTTTTTGAACACTTCCCAAATAAAGCCTAATTTTCAAAAGTCGTCTTATGAATAACTGTACTAAGCGAAATAGTGTAGGGTATTTAATGGTGGCTCGTAACCCACCAAGTTAATGTGTAATGTAAAAAACAATATTTTCTTTCCTCAGTTAACAAGGAGGCTTTAAGAGCCTTCTTTACGGCAATTATGCTGGTGTCGTTGAATCAATTATCCGGAAGTTTTGCTATTGTAAATTATCTTTCGGATATTTTCGCTCATACCGGTACCGATATTGATCCGAACACGTGTACCATAATAATGGGTGTAGTGCAGATATTTGGCACATGTTTTTCGATGATTGTTGTTGATCGAGTAGGCCGTAAAGTGTTATTGCTGGCCTCAGCTGGTGGCACAGCATTGAGTTATACCAGTTTTGGTATTTACGTCAAGTTTGCCAGTTCGGAAATTAAATTGCAATACAATTGGCTGCCTTTGGTGATTATGACATTCGTTATATTTTCAACAAGTATTGGTCTACTGGCTCAAGTATTTACAGTTATAGTGGAAACATTACCGATTAAGGTATAAAAATTAAATGATTTTTTTGATTATATATGATAGAACGAATTTCTTTATTAACATCTTTAGGTTCGTTCAGCTGGTACGTCTTTCTCTATGGCTGCATTAAGTTGTATGGTTTTTGTCGCACTAAAACTTTTTCCGGAATTAATGGAAAAATATGGTTTAGATAATTTAATGTTTGGCTGCACTGCGATTTGCGTGGTCGGCTTTTTATATGTATTAATATTTCTTAAGGAAACCAAAGGTAAATTGTTAGATAAATAATTAATAATAAAGTCTGATTTTCTTAAGAGAAAAAAAAAAAAAAAAAAAATATATATACATATATGTACATATATATGTATTTATTCCTTTAAATATTCCCAAAACTAATGAGGAAATTGTGTATGAGAGTTTGTGATTAAAATTCCACAACCGGGAAACTTTCTTTAAGATTGTGACGAGTTTATCAAAGGAATAATTTACGTTTCCACTAAAGCAAAACGAAAAAGAAAAAAAAAAAGCATTTCATGAAGAATTACATAAGATTCCACACGATTTTTTTCACCGTTATATTAGACAGCAACGAAAACTATAGATGAAGATGCTACCACAGCTACTACTACTACGGCTTCTACTACTAGTTTGCGAACAATTGCATGAATTTACTTTTAACATGACCCTGAGTGAACTTAGTTTTTAAACGTAGCGACAAGCGTTCAACTTAGGAAGACAAGCTGGCATATTATCAGGCAGCCAGCCCTTCCTGCATAGCAAACAATCAGTAGAGCGTTTACGTGTGACTCACTCATAAAACGCTTACGATAACTCATGTTGGTCTTTCAATCACACAATTTACTTATATAGAAGAATCTCACCAATAATCCTTGATTCATATCATTAACTTATCATACAAATAGAAAAAGTAAAAACAACAAACAAATTTAACGCTTTTTAAAAGCATATAGTAAGAAAAAAATTCTGTTATACCCTATAACAGTATATTAAGTTAGTACGAATGTATGCAACTTCCAGAAGGACTTGACACCCGTCGATCCAGAATCAATTTTTAAATCAATCCAAATTTTTCCACTCTGTCCGTCTGATCGTAATTTTTGCATTACTTTGATGAGATTTGATACACTGACGCGTTTTTCCCCAAGTGCGATTGCTATTGAAAAAGGGTTTGGACGGACTATTTTACATATAACGCCTTGAAAACGCATTGAAAAGTCTTTACTCGAAGAATTGTTAAGCGTTCCGAATGACTATATTAAGCGAAATGGTGTTCGGGTATATAACCGTCGATCGTGGCCGACTATAACGCTTTTACTCATCGACAAAAGGCTACAATTGGAACATATATCCTTAAACCAAGAAGATATATCACTAGATCAAGTAGTAGAGTAGTAGACCTAACGCGATCATTAACATAAACAACATTATAATTGACCATTACATCGGTGATATTAATTTGAAACGGATCGCAAGGATCATACCAAACTTTGGTAAAACCAGCTTTGGCAACTAACTGAAATCTGCAGTCTGTGAGAGATAATGAATTAAAACTTTATACGCGAACACTTTCGAATATCAATTGGTGTTAAAATAATTTTCATTTAGTGAACTAATACGCCTACTTTTCATTTTGCAATTATAATGAATTGATGTCAATCATAGGTATATTAATTTCGTCTTAAGAAAAATATTATTTCCTTTTACGGTGTTTTCTTTATGCGTTAACTAAATTTTTTTTAGAAGAAAAACTTCTTAGTTCGATAAACGTCTTGTCCGATTTTCCTATTTTAAAAAAAGGGTATCTGCTGTAACATGGTTATTAGGAGTTTAGGACGACTTTACTGGGAAATATTTAAAAAAAAGTTTCTTTTTTGATAAACAATTACTCAGGGTATCCCTCCTATCCGATTCGCTATTGCTACGACCTAACGTGCGATCTGTCGCACTGGACGGAATATACTTTCTTTAGATTGTTGGCCAACAAGTTATGAGCAAAATTTCTAATAATCTAAGGCGTGCAGTGCGAACACAAGTATTGATTTATAAAAGAACAAATTTCATTTAAATTTTTTTATAATTTGCATAGAAATCATGGCATCATGCTATAATATTTCACATCACTGTATCTGTATTTAAGAAGCAGAAAATATGTTAATTTCTTTCATACTCAGTCGCTTCGCAATTATCTATTAAGCTAACCTATTCATCATGATTATTGTCTGTTGTCAGTGATGAAATCATTTTGTAGTTTCGACATACCTAAACTGGTTTGATTGATTCAATTTTAATATGTTTAACAAGCTTAATGGGAAAGCAATCATATCTCTCTATTAACCCTTTACTGACCTTTAATTGATTTCAATTCAGAACTTAATTTGTATTTACATCATATATGATTTTTAGATGTAATTATTATGTTATTTATGTTAAAGCTATTGTTAGCAATCATTTAAGAGAGAGAAAAAAAAAAAAAAAAAACAATAAGGTTGAAATAAGGTCAGTTAGGCCGTGGAAATGTTTTAGATTAGATGGGAAGCAAAGGCAAGCGGGAGCAGTGCCTCGCTGGTATTAGTGCATTATTGAATAGTCTGATTACGAAGAAACTCAGCCGAAGGATGGAAAAGGGCGCTTGCCTTATGTTTTCATCGTTGGATGTGATTCCTCTAAGCGGCAAACTTGATGCGATTTAATTTGCAATGTCTTCGTATATTATATAATACATTAATGTTACATTTAACAATAAGTCTCTGGATTTTAAAAGGAAACAAAGAAATGTGCCCTAAAAGAAAACAATTTCTAATATTCTCTCAGATAAGCAACAAGAGATATTTAAATTTTAATCATAAAACTAGGCAATGAGTTCTTTTCTCTCTTAAGCCTAAAAGTCGGCAAAGTACTTTTCATATTTAGAAATCAATCTAATAAACTAAGTTCCATTTTAAGCCTTAAATTAATTGCTAAACGATTTGATTGCTTATTCTTCGACTCCTAGTAAAAGAAAATGCACAAAAAAGGAACAGAATATCAGAGGTCTACAATAACTCTTCTGCTTGCAAAATATTTCGGAAAGAAAATGCCATCGCTTAAAGGATTAATTAGGAAAGCTAGATTAGACTATCTTTCTTTTCAATACCAAAGTCACTTAGTTTATACTTAAAGTCATAGAGCAGCCCAGTTCAGGTGGGAAAAGAAGTGGAAAAGTGTAGAAGAAAGATTTAATCATTTTTCCCTGATTTGCTTATAGTTACTGCTAAGCTAAAGCTAAGCTAAATTTTGCGACAATTTTCAAGATGATTGAGCCGATGTTCCATTTTAACCTTTTTTCTCCGGTCGTTTCACTAATTTGTGTAATTTTTTGAGAATCACGCATAAAATAAAACTAATGTCTCTTATTACAATTGTAAAAATAAATGAAATTGAAAGCGTAAACAGTGTCTAATAGGAATATAAAAAAAAATATAATCAGAAAATCAAATCTTAGCGATAAGTGTTTTCTGAGAACACGGTGATTGCGTTGACTTAAAATGCCTTGATTTATAATATTAATTACAATTGTCAGGTAAGAGATTTATTCATTTTTTTTTTATGCTCTTTTGTGTTCAATAGTTTTGTTTACTTTTCGGTATCTAATCTATAATTTCTTTCAAGTCAATTTTTCCTTTACCTCAGTTGATCCGAATTACATGAGCGTATGTTTACATAGCAGTAGAGAGAGTAGAAACCCTTACTTTCGTGCTTAAAAAACTTCAATCGTTCTAAGTGTTATTTGTAACACAATCTCCTGACTCTCTCGCGTATATCAAACGTTTTCTCTTTATTTTCTAAAAGCAAAAATCTCTTGAAATTTTCTAGAATCCATAGAATAAACGCTGAGTACTTGAAATTCGCTCAAACACTACAGTAATGCTATTTATTACAAATAAAGATTTTTATTGCTATTTACTGATATATTAAGTTTTAATGCTTGCGTTTCGTAATTTTTGGCTTTAAGCAGTTGACACTGATTGATACGTATATCGCCATTAGGCTCATGATTATTGTGATAATAATGTAACGACTATTCGTAACTGTAACCAAGTCTTTAACTTGGTAGAATGAAATGAGGACTATATATATATAAATATATATGTAAACAGAGAGAGAGAGGGAGAGAGAGAGAGAGAGAGAGAGAGAGAGAGAGAGAGAGAGAGAGAAAAGAGATGAACAGGAAAAATTTTTGTACAATATTTAAGGTAAGCGTAACATTAAAGAAGTAATTAACCGAAGAAAGACCTTGAGAATATGAGAATATGACGCGTATTGTTAAACAAATTTGCTTATCTGTTCATTATAATATAATTAATTGATTTTTTTCGTTATTTATATATTTTTATTTTTTCAAACAATTGCTAAAAACAGTAACTAAATGTTCTTTGTTTCGAACGATTAAACAAAACAATATTCTTAAATAGTAATTAATTAAAATAATTTAAATGTTAGCATCAAAGTTATTAAAAAGATTTTTTTTTTTTTTTTTGCATTCAACCATAAGCGGATTACATTGTCTTAAGCGATTGAGTTTTACTTACAATCAATTAAAAAGGTTTTAAAAAAATTTAAATTTAAGAGCAGTACCTTTAGCCTTATATGTATTGCAAACTAAAACTAATTTCGGCAAAGGCGCTTTTTTCTCCCCCAGCGCTTTGAATTGAACGTTTCTTTTTTTTTTCAACCATGTTGTTTGTGGCTTCATTGACTGGAATAGAATTTTTGCTTAATGCTATCCTTACACTCTTCGTTTATAAATCTATTGTGTCCTCTTCTAATGAAAGTAAATGACTTGAACATTGATCAGTTTTGTTGATTGTCGCTCTGCTAAAGCAGACACTATTGTATTCGTGACTTGTATGCATGAATGCATCTATGCATGCACGCTTGCATCGCGCTAATGCAGTTGGGAATTAGGTGACACGAGCCGAGTGTACAATATCAAGTATACAATATTGATTAAACAAAACTAAGACAAATTTTGAACATGACGTACAAGTTATTGGATGCACAGTGAGGTGAAGATCCAAAATATTAAGTAGTTTCGTCCGAAGGCGGAAGTTTAGCTCCGAGTACGGTAAAATATACTATTAATAGCTACCTTTTTATCATGCGCGGATTTATTCATCACTTCATTTATATCACTAGTGTACAAAAGAGATTCACTTAAGCTATAATAATCGGTTTATATATACAAATTTATTTTAAAAGATTACAAGATTACAAGACTTGCATATGAA